AAGGAAGGAAGGAAGGAAGGAAGGAAGGAAGGAAGGAAGGAAGGAAGGAAAGGGCTGGAGTTGTAGCTCAGCGGTAGAGTGCTCACCTAGTACGTGTGAAGCCCTGGGTTTGATCCTCAGCACCACATAAAAATAAAATAAAATAAAATAAAGATATTGTGCCCAACTACAAATAATAAATAAATAAATATTTAAAAAAAGAAAGGAAGGAAGAGAGGAAGAAAAAAAGAATTTTTTCTTCGATTACCATGCTTTCTGGGAGGTTTACAAGGTGCAGGGCATTACCATGCTTTCAGGGAGGTTTACAAGGTGCTAGGGAAAGAGGCATCCCCAGTAGGGCAAAGACCCCCTTCAAACAAGAACTTTCAAAGAAAAACGGCAGGGAATCAAAAGTAAGTTTGGGTAAACATATTTCTGCTTTAAGAATCAACGTTTCAAAAACGTGAGAGACCGAACAGTTCTACTCTGGAGACTACTGGCAAATCTGGGCGGACCGAGGCCAGATTGACAGACTGTGCCGACTGGGGTTGGAATCCCTTACAACAAGAACACACCCTGGGCCATCTGTAAAGACGCCTTCCATGATCCGTGTTGTAGCGGAAGTTAACTTAGGTGGCAGGGCAAGGGAGGCGGCCCAAGGTTTTGATTTCAAGCTACTGACTTCGTGGTCTTAAAGTCTGAGTTGGGGATGGGGCGGTGCCCGGCAGGGCGGGGCTGCAGGCCTGGGCAGCCTTCCTGGCAGAGCCCTCGGGAGCGCGGGCCAGGCGGGCGGGCCCCGCCTCCTTCCTTCCGGCAGCCGAGGGTGCTGCGGGATGCGGGGGAGGGTGGAGGTGAGGGGGGGGCGTATATAGGGCGGGGCCTAGAGGCTCTGGCCACGCCTCCCCGGCAGCTCCGGGCACCGCGGCTGGGCGGGGCCTACGGGGCGGGGCTGACAGCGCCGGGCGAGGCCTCAGGTTCCCTACAGCCCGCGAACTCGGCAGGAGCTGCAGCTGCCGCCGCCCGTGTCTTCAAGGTCTCACCGCTCGTTCAGCAGAGACCCGGGCTCGGCCGCCATGTCCGTCGCGGACGAGGTTGATGGATTGGGCGTGGCTCGGCCGCACTATGGCTGTGAGTGCGGGGCTTTGCTGCGCGAGGGCTTTGGGTATGGGCTCCCTGCCTCCTAGGCGAGGTTTTCCCGGTGGCTCGGCCGGGCGGGTGGGGCAGGGCGGCTGTCGGCTGCGCGGACCCGGAAGAGCCGGCTTGGTTGGGTGGAGGGCTGGAGGCCCGGGCCGGCTTGGAGGCGGGTAGGACCCCGGAGGTCTCACTGCCTCGGCCCCCACTGCGGCAGAAGGAGCCCACCCGGCCCCTCTCGCCACCCAGCTCGGCCGAGATTGGGGGAGATGGCCTGGGGTGAGGTGGCAGGAGGACGGAGCAGGGCGTGTCCCGGGACCGGAGACTGGGGCTCTGCTCTGGCTTCTTGGAAAGGTATGCCCCGAGTGGTGCCTGTGAGCAGACTCAGGGTCCTGACTCCCTGGCTCCATGCTAGGCGAGGTGCGGTACGGTCCTGAGCAAGTCACTTCGGCTTTCTCGGGCTTAGTTCCTTCGTCAGGATTTCAAAAGTTAAAGAAGAAAAAAAAAAAAAAAAAAAAAACCACCGAAAACCTCTAACTTCTTTATTTTCTGTCGTCCATCCTTGGGATATCAATGAACTGCAGGTGGAGTGGTTACCATTGGCTACTGGAATCTACTTTGGGGTCTCAAATTTTTCTATTTTTATTTTACATTATGGAAATAATGGTATTTTTTTTAAAAGGATGATTTTATTTATCACAGTTATAATGTAGTGCCACGTTTGTGAAATTGAGCGTGAGTAAGACCAGGCCCTGCCTTCAAAGAATTTTTTAATCAGATAGGTGTACAAGCTAGTGATAATAAGGTGCAATAAAGACAAGAGGTTCGATAACAGGCGTATAGAGTAATGTGAAAATGGGTTTAGGGTAGTCATTGTAAACATAGGTGGTGACATTTGAATTTTCTTGAATGAAACTGTACAGAAAAGTTTGACAGATGGGGCAAGAGACCAGACTCCAGGTAGGGTGTGGAAGAGTACAGGTACACTGTGTGTGTTGTGTGTGGAACTGAGTGGTGTGGATTGCACAGTGATAGGAGGAAAGGGGAAAAGTTTTAAAAGTAGTGGAGGTCAGATTCGAAAGGCCTTCCCAAGGAGTTAGAAATTTAATACCCTGGATGCTAGTGTAGGAGGCAGGTATCTTCAAGGTTAAGCCCTTGGGTATAGAAGGCTGTCTGCATTTGAACCCAGGGCCCTTCTCTTAATTAGCCCTGGAGCTGAGCTCACAGGCCTCAATTTCCTCATCTGTAAAATAAGAGCTGATAATCACAGGATTGTTGTGGGCTTCAGAGAGAGAATGCATGTAAAATGCTTAGCACAATTACTACCATTTAGTTCTCAATAACTGCTGGTTTTGGTTATTAATAAAAGGGGGAAATATGATGAGATCTGTATTTAGAATGAGCTCTGACACAAGAACAAAAGCAGGCCCAAATCTCAAGTCTGTATTTTTCATATTACTATACATTTTTAATAAAGGGCAAGATGAATGTAGTTGAAACTCTATAGGTCTCTCCACGTCTTTCTGTAATTTTTTTTCTTGGCATGCTGGGGCCTTGGGCACTGAGCTATATCCCCAACCTTTTTCTATTTTTCGACAGGATCTGGCTCAATTTCCAGGTCTGTCCTTGAACTTGTGATCCTCCTACCTTAGCCACGTTGAGTAGCTGGGATTACAGTGTGCACTATTGCATACAACTCCCATAGGTCTCTTTTTAGGAAAGTCATTGTACACCTGGCTATCCACACAACCACCTGACCTTCAAGGTGACTAGCAGGAATTTGATGGCTGTGGCATTCTTTTATCACTAAGGAAGATTACAGATCCTGGTATTTACATTCTTTCTTTCATGTTTTAGCTGTCCTGGATAATGAGAGACTCACTGCAGAGGAGATGGATGAAAGGAGACGTCAGAATGTGGCTTATGAGTACCTTTGTCATTTGGAAGAGGCCAAAAGGTAAAGATGGACTGGCTGGAGAAAAGATTGGGAGAAGGGAACTGATATGGTGTGAACAGAGAGAAAGATTTCTCTGTATTTTGTATGTGGGATTTTGTGAGGCTTCTAGTTGATGGATAAGTACAGATAGGGCATTTATTCGTGGGAGCAAGTTGCCTTGATGGTAGCTTATCATGAAACACTGTGATGAACATTTATGTTTCCTGAACATTTTCTATATTTTGCTGTTTGCATTTATGCTTATGGTGCTTGTTTTGGGTATTGTCAGCTATCTGAGAGAAATAGCATTTTTAGAATTTGGAAGTTCTTGATCTTAATGTTTTTCTGATTCTTCATTGGTTTTGATTTATATATGAATGAGTCTCCTCCCACCATGTCTTATGGAGTGGGTATTAGATTTGGGAGGCTTAAGAGGGTAGTGTTGTGGATATTGGTCCACACAACATCGTCTGTGTTCTTTGTGAAGTGAATGTACAACTGCAGTTTTTCATTTTCAGATGCCCAAGACCTGTGTTAAGGGTGTCAATTTACTATCAGTCATTCATTTCTTTTGTTCTGGTGCTTATGTTCCTTTGTAATGTCCCAGGAGAAGTAATTTCAGATTATGTATTCTTTAAGTGAGCTTTGGTGGAAGTCTAGTGAGGGATAATAAAAGGTATTTGTCACCATAGTTTAATGAAAATCAAGGATGTTTCAAATGGGGTTAATGAACAAGAGCGGTGATGGATATTTTGTTTTAATAATTCTGAAAAAAAATTTTTTTTTTCTTTTTATGGTTCTAGGGAATAAACCTAGGATTTTGTGTAAGCATTCTCCTGCTGGGCTACATTCCCATTATTTTGAGACAGAGTCTCTTTTTAGTTGCCCAGGTTGACCTCAACATTTGCAATCCTCTAGCCTTAGCCTCTTGAGTTGCTGGGATTTCAGGAGTGCTCCACTGCTCCTGGCTAATTCTGAAAATAAAATATTACAGGATAGTCCAGAGAACAAGATAACAAATATATTTGTATCTTAGGACTAACCTGTTAACCCTTCAGATCTTTCCCTTCCTCTAAAAAAATGAAAAAAATAAGAAAAAAGTAATAGTCTTTTGTTCCCCTCTTTAGTCCTATTCTTCTTCCCTTTGTGTGGTAACCTCCAACATGCATTTGGGTGGGCCTTCTTGAATCTAGGTTGCTTTTCTGAGTTTAAAGTCCTTCTAGGAAATCAGGGTAGGAGTATTAGTAATGATTTAACTTGGGATAAGTGATACTGATGCTTTTCTAAATGGAAGTTTAGAAAACTGAGGCCTGAGTTTTCTTGGTCTACTTATAGTTTCTTGATCAGGGAATAGTTTCCATCATTTTGTGCAGTAATTATTTAGGTATGTGCATTCAAATCACCTGGAGAATTTTAAAACAAATACAGAGGACTGGGATTGTAGCTCAGTGGTAGAGCACTTGCCTAGAAGTGAGGCACTGGGTTTGATTCTCAGCACCACAAGTGAAAATAAAGATCAACTAAAAAAATAATTTAAAAAATACAGATATCTGGGTCTAACCACGGAGATTCTGGTTCAGTGGGTCTGGAGTGGGTTATACTCATATATTTTATTTGTTGTTTTGTGTTTGCATGCTAGGAATTGAACCCAGGCCCTTGTGCATGCTAGGCAAGCGTGTTCTACCACTGATCTTTATTCCCAGCTCCACATCTGTGTGTTTTAAAAGCCTCTGGTGATTCTGATGGTCCTCCTCCTCATTGAGAAACAGAATTTAAAATGTTTTTAGAGCTGGGTGTGGTGATGCATGCCTGCCATCCCAGCTACTTGGGAGTCTGAAGAAAAGGAGTTGCAAGTTCTTTTTTAGTACTGGGGACTGAACCCAGGGGTGCTTTACCAAGTCACCTCCCCAGTTTTTTTTTTTTTTTTAATTTTTATTTTGAGACAGGTTCTGGCTAAGTTGCCAAGACTGTCCTCAAACTTGATTCTCCTGCCTCAGCTTCCTGAGTTGTTGAGATTACAGGCATGCATCACTGTGCCTGGCTGAGGGTTGTAAGTTTGATGCCAGCCTAGGTAACATAGTAAGACCTTGTCTCCAAAAAAAAAAAAATATATATATATATATATATATATATATATATTTTTTTTTTTTTTTAGAGCTCTGCCTCATATTGAGATATGTTAGCCAGGATAGAATGATACTCTTCAGCATATTTCCCCTCCTCAGGTGCTGAAGGCATTTCATTTGCATCTACTCCAGAGTATGTTCTTTTCTGTTAGTTTTTTTTTTTTTTTTTTCAGTATAGAAAAGTGGCCCATTTGCTTTAAAAAAATCCATCTAAGGGCTATTATCCTGTGGTGTGTTTTTTAGTTGGGTGCTTAGGAAGTGCTTATGATAGTCTTTGTTTTTTATACTTTGGGTTAAAAGGGAGGTCATAATACTTGCAATATTGCTCTGGCACACTCTGCTCTTGGCCTAGAATTGTGGAAATGCCCCTGCTTTATTTTATGTAGGCATTCATAAAAATCTGGATGTGATTTGTTTGTTTTGCTTAAAACTTTGATTAGAAAATCACCTTTTTAGATTTTACAACTAAATAGTATCAGGAAGTCTGGGAATTTTGTGGTGAGAAAAGGGGGACTAGGAGCCCTATGAGCCACCTAACGTGGTTGCTGCTACTCCTAAAAAATTTTCTGGGTGCCCACTGGTGAATGGCATGCTTTTTGTTATTAGCTAGGGCTTCATCTCCTAGTTGTTTTCCCTGAGGAGCTGGGCTGCACATATTATGTGTTCCTAGGGCTCCTCTTTCCTCTTTAGCACAAGGCCTAAAGTTGCCTTTTTGGGTTGGCCTGGTCTAGTTTTCTCTCAAGTTGAAGGAGCCCCAAGGCCTGAAATTTATAGTGGCTCCAAAGGCAGAAATAAAGATCAAAGAAATCCAAGGGAGAAAAGGTTTCCTTCTTCAGTTCTATTTATAATGTCTCTCTCTACTCCTCCCACTAAAAATTCCACCTTTTAGTACAGTGGCCCCATTGTGTATCGGGGCACTCACCTTTAATTTAATTCCCCCCCTGTACCTTTAATAGAGCTCTTTCTTGAGAAAGAGAGAGGAGAGAGTGTAGAGTGAGTATGAGCATGTGGAGACTGTGGGTATGGATTAAGTGGGAAAATTTAATGGTTATTTCATAAAAGTATGTACTGGGAATGGTTGGGAAATAGAATATATAGATATTTCTATTTCTTTACTGTTTGAAAAGTAGTTTCAATACAGAAATTAAGCTGTTGTTCTAAGATTTAAGGCTTTTTACTAAGGGCTATACTGTGGAACAAGGACTTAAAAGAGACATCTTAAGTTATTATTTATGCTTAAATGTACATAAATTTGCTTTCCTTCTTTTGCTTGTTCTGATTGAACTTTACATTTGGTTTGGCTGTGGAGCATTTGTATGGGAGAGATGAATACCACTTTTGCCCAGTTGAAAGAGGTGATCTTTAAATATGTGAGGTATGTATGTGCTCAGATCTCAGATAGGAGAAAAGTAATAGAGAAAGATCAGAAGAAGAAGGTTCAAGTGAAAAGAAAAAAATCAAGAGGAGAACACATCAGGAAAGCAGAATAGGGAAGACTGTAGGTGTGGAGGAAGTATGAATGGTTCTAGAAATGGAAGAAAATTCAGTTAGGATAAAGGTCGTTGGGATAAAGTTTATTATAACACCTGCTGTGCTGGTTCATTTAGGGTTCCCTCTTTCAGAGACTTGGTACGTCTGTTTTGGATCACCTTTCTCCTGCTTTGCAGTTATGGATTCTTCTACTTTCTTCCCCTTGTAGAAAGGAAAGTAAGGACTTATGGTTTTTTGGAGAGTGTCAGAAACTGCAGAGTTAACAGAATTTAGCACTAAATACAAGCATTTTTGCCTCTGTAATTAAGTGAAATTGAAAAAGTATCTTGGAAAGAAATCAAATCTTGAGAACAAATTCTCTTTTGTGTACATATCTTTATTGGCATAGAACATTTTCTGGGTTGTGTTCTTCAGATCTCCTCTCCCTCTAAATGGTATTAGAATCCAGGAATATCTGATATTTTCCTGATGGCACCCTGTGATCATGGAAACAGAAGTTAAGACATTTAAGAGGCAAGAACACATGAATAGGTGAGGTAACTAGGAAGAATACCATGGACACCACCTTCTAGGATTTTCAGATGAGAAGCATCACTTAAAGATTGAGCAAGTTGCACCCCTGTAAGCCTAGCTAATTGGGAGGCTGAGGCAGGAGGATTGCAAATGGAGGCCAGCCCTGTCAATTTAGTGATACTCAGTCTCAAATAAAAAGGAGTGGGCCAAGCACAGTGGTGTACTCCTGTAATCTCAGCAATCAGGGAGGCTGAGGCAGGAGGATCACAAGTTATAGGCCAGCCTTAAAAATTTACAGAGAGACTTGTCTCAAAATAAAATAATAAAAAGGGCTGGGGATGTAGCTAATTGGTAAAGTGCCTGCGGGTTCAATCCCTAATACAAAAAAAAAAAAAAGGGGGGGGGGGATGAGAGCTGGAAATATAGCTCAGCAGAGTGTTTGACTAATACGTGTGATGCCCTGTGTTCCATTGCCAGTATAGTGTGTGTGTGTGTGTGTGTGTGTGTGTGTGTGTGTGTGTGTGTGTGTGTGGCGGGGGGCAAATATTGAGGGAGATCATTTTTAGGAGATTGACCCAAACTCTCCTTTCATAGGCGAGAAAACTAGTCATTTCTACAGAAGTAGTGTGATTCAGAATCTATGGCACTTACTACTTAATTTATGTAGTCATCATTCGAAAGGAGAGATACAGAGTAGCATTTATCCTTAATTCTTAAAATTGTGTTGTAGAAGGAAACCACCATTCTTTTTTTTTTTTTTTTTTTTTTGGAAACATTTTAGTTCAGTTGCCTTGAACAAACTCCACCCCATTTTGCATTTAAAAGTGTTATTTGTTAAAGTTCTTGAAACTTAAGTGCTTTCTCACATAGTAATAATGTAACAAATATAAG